AAGACATGAATAGTAATAAAACAATACTAAATCATAATATAAAAGCTTAGAAAGGTTAGCTCCCCTACCTCTATTCCAAACTTCTCTTGCTCTTGAAAACCCTCTAGAGCCTCTACTCTTCTTGCAACTAAAAATTTCTTCGTAACTCTTTCTTCTCTATTTCTCAAGGTTTCTCACTTGATTCTTCCTCTCTTTGTGCAAAATAGCCTCCCCTCTCATGACTATTTATAGTCCAAAAATTTTACTATTCATCAATTTTTTTTAATATTATTTATTATTTTAATATTATTTTATTATATTAATATCTTAATCACCACTTACATAATGGATTCGTCAATAATGTCTTCAAATCTGAAGTGATTTATCCACTATCAATATTTAATTTTTTTTTAATAATTTTTTTTAATAATTTTTTTTACAAAAAAGTAGAAAAGAGCTTGAACCCATATTCTTGAAATCATTACAATTTTCTACCATTTAAGCTACCAAAATTTCTATATTTAACTTATTAATTATATTTTCCATTCACAAAGAAATTTATTACTACTAGTAATAAAATTGTTACAATTAAGGTAAATATTTTTCATGGATCTTATAGTAAATAAGTTTCAAGTCTTTTATAAATTTATGTATTTTTAATTGATTTAATATTAAAATTTTTCTCTCAGCATTCAAATTTTTTATATTTTTGAATTAAATTCATGTTATTTAATTTTTTTCGTTAATTGGTAACGTAGATGTGATCTTATCTTATTTTTTTGCTTTCACATATTGAAAAAAGTATGATATTTTGTGATTAATATAAAATAACATATTTAACGTGTCCTATTTCTTTATTAAATTTTTTGGTCTGTTATGTTTTTAAAATACATTAATTTTGGTATATTAAAAAGATTTTTAGTATATTAAAAAGATTTTTAGTATATTTTAAAACAATAAAATTAATGTAGGTGTATTTAAAAACACGATACTGAAAAATTAAAAAAAAAAATACTCAATGATAATCCAAATTTCTGTTTAACTTAATCATAAATAAAATATATTTCAACATAATTAAAATTGAATTGGGATAAGTTAGATTGTGTTGGTTGGATCAATGTTAACCCGACTCAATGAATTATAGGATACAAGTTTTGCCATGGTAAATTGCACATAAAATAGAAATGTGAGAATTTGATTCAAAGAATAAAATCATTTTTTTATATTAATAAAACCTCTTAACACATAACAAAAAAGTAGACAACAATCATGTCACTCAATTAATGAAAATTTTATACAATATGAATTCAATTAAAAAATATCAATTTTTTAATATCTCTAATTGTAATTTTCTTAGGGTTCAATTGAAAATATATAAGAAGGGAATTTAAACTTAATTAAATCTTTATTTTTGAATAGATATTGAGTAAAATTAATTGTAGAAAGTATCGGACAAATATAATTAATTGTACAACTACCGCTCTTACAAAATAAATAGGAAAGACCAACCAACAAAACGTTTAATAAGGATGCTGAAAGCTCAAAGTCATGGTACGCTATACAATATACAATGATTGCATGAATAAAAGTAGACCTAATTACTTGTATATTTTATTCAATTTGATATTCTATTAACAATTTAATTAAACTGGATAAAAATCGTCATATCATTACATATTTAAAAATTAAATTAAGTTGAAAAGATATAGAAAATAATAAAATTAAGGAGACAATTACAGAAGAAGTACATGATTCAGATAAAGAACATATTGGAAACAATGTGAGACAAATAATGATCATTCTACTCATTAAATAAGTTTGAAGTGAAAGAACTATGTTATTTATTAGTGAAAAAATTGGATTCTTAGATTATTTATTATTATGTAAGTTATATTCACTTACAATAACGTTAATATAATTATAAATTTGATGATATTTTTTATATTGAATATCATTGAAATCGACTTAAAAATGAGAATAATGACTATTTTATAATAAACTACAGGATTTTTTAAAGTTGATTGTAAGTTTAGTTAACATAAAAGATGATATTTTATGTGATTGTGGTCATATTTAATATAAAAAGTGACTTTTATTACAGAGTTTTTTATTTTCGAATAAAATTTTTATGGTGAGTCCAGAATCAACATAAAATATCAACTTTCTATATATTTTAAATTTGTGTAGAAATCGCAAATTTTTTATGTCGGTGGTATTTATACCAATTATGAAAGCAGCCTAGAAAGTCTTTTTTTGAATTTGCGCTCTACTTATTATTATTAAGTAAAGATTAATCTCAAGCCTATTATTCGTAGTGTATATATATGTATCGTTAACTTGAAGTATTGCACTCATCACTACCACACAGCAAAAACAGAGTGAGAGAGAATTACACTAAAATGGAAGAGGAAGCGTTAGAGGTTGGTAAATGTATTCTGAAATTACTTTGGGAAGCCTTCAAAAGGATGAAAGATCTCCCAAAAGTAGTTGACGAGATTCAAACTGAACTTGACGAGTTGAAAAACTTAATCAATTTGGAGGAGCAAAGGTTGATGAAGGAGAGAAAAACAGCATTTCTCGCGGAAGATGTGATTGACGAGTTCGAGACACGTATTAAAGAAAAGCAACCTCAAGATGATCGTGGATGGGCAGCGTTCCCCGCTAAGGCTGTTTACCACATCCAAACTCTCATCCCTCGATTTCTAATATCATATAAGGTTAATGATATTTTATCAGATGTTCGTAACACAAAGGAGCGTTTACAAAGAAATCGTCCACAATCAACACAAAACAACAACAATGTCACATTTCATCATTGTCGAATGGATCCTCTCTTTATGGAGGAAGAGGAGGTTGTTGGACTTGCTGGACCTACAAAGATATTGACAGATTGGTTAGAAAATGGACAAAGGGAACGCACTGTGATTTTTGTTGTGGGTGTTGCAGGAGTTGGAAAAACCACTCTTGCCAAGCATGTTTATGACAAGGTCATCTGTAGCAACTTTGTTCACCATGAATTCTTCACAGTGTCTCAGTCCAACACTGTAGAAGAATTTTTGGGGGTTATGTACAGGCATTTCATGAAAAGCGAGCCACCTTCCGATTATTCTATTTTGAAAAATGAAGTCAGAGGTTACTTGCGTGGGAAGAGGTATGTTCTCTTGTTTGATGATGTATGGGAGGACAAATTTTGGGAAACAATTGAAACGGCTTTGATTAAAAATGAAAATAAAAGTAGGATAATAATCACAACAAGGAAAAAGAGTGTTGCGAAATCTTTTACGAATTCTACTCTTTTTAAAAAATACAATCTTGAAGAACCTTTAACTGAAGAAGAATGTTTGAGGTTGCTCCATAAGAAGGCAGGTTATAGTTCTGATTGTCCAGAAGAACTTAAAGATATATCTCTTGAAATTGTTAGCAAGTGTAGTGCTTTACCTCTAGCAATCGAGGTCGTTGGACGAGTCTTGTCACAAAAAGATAGAAGTGCACATGAGTGGGGACTGTTTAGTGAAGAGTTGAACTGGAATCTGACGAATCCGACGAATCCTGAATTTAATATTATAGAAAAAGTTATAGGTTTAAGTTATGATAATTTGCCGACCCATCTCAGGTTATGTTTATTGTATTTCGGAATGTATCCGAAACATTATGAAATTAAATCTGGGAGATTGGTTAGGCAATGGGTGGCTGAAGGATTTGTTACCCACGAAGAGAGAAAAACTTTAGAAGAAGTTGCACAGGAATATTTACTAGGGTTGGTCCATACAAGTTTGGTGCAAGTGGCATCATTTTCCATGAAAGGAAAAGTGAAAACATGTCGTGTTCATGACTTAATACACAATATGATCCGTACAAAAGTGAAGCATACATATTTTGGCGAGTATATTGGCGGAGGGCATGATCAATCTAAGTCAAGTGAGTTGGTTCGACGTCTGGCAATTGAAACCAACAATGATTTAAATAGACCAATTGAAAGATCACACATTCGGTCAATTATAAGCATTCCAGGAAAACAAGAAGAATCATGGTCTTCCGATTTGGAAAGGAATGTTCTTAAAGATGACATGCCATTGAAGGTACTTGATTTTGAGGGTTGTGGATTACTTTGTGTTCCTAAAATGTTGGGGAATTTTATCTACCTGAGGTATTTAAGCTTTAGGGGGACGCAGATAACAGTTCTTCCAAAATCCATAGGTAAGCTCGTGAACTTGGAGACCTTGGATATACGACAAACGCAAGTGCTTGAGTTGCCGAAGGAGATCACAAAGCTCAGAAAGTTACTGCATCTTCTGACACCTGACTCTGCATTTTCTTCAATTGAATGGAAGGATATTGGAGGCATGACAAAGCTGCAAAAGATACCACAAGTGCGTATGGAGGATGATGGAGTGGCCATTACAGAGGTAGGGAAGTTAAAGCAGTTAAGGGTTCTGAGGGTGCTTTGTTTCGGCGCAGAGCACATTACTTTACTTTTCTTCTCAATCAATGAGATGGAACACTTGCAAGCACTACGCATTGAAAAATCTGGTGATCGCATTGTGGTTGACTTGAACACTGCGTCAATGTCTGGTGGGTCAAGACTTAGGAAGCTTTTCCTTGATATGAAGTTAGAAAGGTTACCAAATTGGTTTCCCCAACTCCGTCATCTTGAGAGATTGACCTTGCGCCACTCTGACTTAAGCAGTGATCCCTTGGAATCACTAAAAGATATGCCTAGTTTGTTGGTGCTCTCTTTATCCCACGCTTATGAAGGTCAAACTTTGCATTTTCAATCGGGAGGGTTCAAGAAACTGAGAAAGCTAAATCTCGAACATCTTTGGAACTTGAATTCGATCCTTATTGATGAGACAGCACTGCAGGCTCTGGAATATTTTGAGTTGACATGCCTGGATGATCTCAGAACTGTCCCCGATGGCATTCAACATCTGAATAAACTTAAATTTGTTCGTGTCCCTTATATGCCAACTCAATTTGTTGAGGAAATTGATCGCATTGGTAAAGACAAGCCCTGGAGAATCAATTATGGCTATATGTGATTCGCGGTACGTATTTACCATTATAAGATTGTCACTACTATAATCTTTTATGTTAATATTTTATGCTTTGAATTGGTAGGTATTGACCTCAACTCAAGAATTACGTTTTTTTTACTTTTGATGTTTATAACTGTCATCAAGATGAACACTTTAAACGGGTGATTAAGGAACAAGTTTAGTCTTTTTGTGGTGTTTAAAGAATACTTTTCGTAAATTGAGTGAGTATCTAATATTTTATTATGATTATCGCACCTTATAAATTTATGTACATTTGATTTGTATTAACTTTAATGTTCTTAGTTCTACAGCTTACACTCATTCTGTACAATCGTCAATTTCAGGGAAGCTGTAACCGAAGATTCTCTCAGTACTTGCGATCCTTGAAACGGTGGATCTGGATTTGATGCATAGTGCAAGGCCCCTTATATTATCATGATGTTTTCTAAGCTTACTTCTATATTTTCCACTTTTCTTTTCCAAAATATGTATCTAAATTTTAGTTTGAGGGTGAAGAATCCTACCAGCAACTTGATGTTATATGTAATTGAAGTTTATTTCTTTGATGCTTTTATTGGGATAAATTTAAATTTAAGAATTATTCAACAATTTTTATGAGTAGTATAATAATTTGATGTTTTAGGAGAGGAAAGTTTAGGAGATTAGTATGTTATGTTTTGGATTAATGATTATTATAGTATTGCGTTTTTGTAATGATCGGAGATTTATGGCTTGGAGATGAAAAACCAAATGTCTGTCAGATGTAATGTGCAGTTGACATGAAATATACACTAAAGTAAATCAGATTATACAAAAGAATGGTCATTTGCTAAACATTGGCATCAAACCTTGAGAGCCTAAAGTGAAAAAAAGTAGATAAAAATATTATTTTGTATCAAGATATCGTTTAGCCTTTAAAAGACGTTTACTAACAATGCATCATTCAGTGATCTTTTGTTTAGTACAAGAGCACGCTTAACTAACTGTTGTTCACAAGATTGTTTTTGAAGCATCCTTTATAGTTTTAATACGTTTACCAAAAATATCATGTAACACAATATTGCATTATTAAGTAAGATATATTAGGAGCGTGTTTAGTAAAGATATCTTGTAGTATATTGATTTGTTTGCTAAAATATTGTTTAATGGTGCGTCTTTCATAATAGCGCGTTTACTAAAATATCATTTAATATTGTGTTTTCTAAAATTTCATTTAATAACATGTTTACTAAAACTTTTCTTTGTTCATTTAGATGTTCTAACGCTTGTTTCATAAGATGTCTTTCTTCCAATACTCATTTCGTTTATCGTTGTTTGTTAAACTTTAAAATATGAAGGTGTTAGACGGTCATGTCTTCTATACGATCTTCTCTTAACATGTATACTTCTTAAACAAAAAGTCAGAGGTATTCGAGGTGTTCAAGAAATTCAGGGTGACGGTTGAAAAGAAAACCAGTAAACACATTAAGGCTGTTCAGTTTACTCTTCCCCTAGTTCACAAGGCGATTCCATGAAGTCTTGTGAGAATCACAACATAAGAATATTCTTGAAAGCATGTACTCGCCATAAAAAATGGTATAGCCGAGAGGAAATTCTTGATATGGTCTAGACCATGTTGAAGAATAAAAATATGTAAGAGAACTTAAATGCATGAGTGACTTGAGTTAATGGGCTTGATTAGTTGATCATGGGTTTGTAATTTTATCTGTAAAAGCTGAATGAGAGACTTTTGTAATGATATTCTTGTAAAAATGCTTTGGAAAAATAATAATATATAGAATAATAATATTTTTGTTTAGTATTAGCAGTGTGAGTGTGTTTTTCTACTAGAAGATATTACTTTTCTATTATGTAATTCCTATCTGTGGTACTAGAGTTGAGATTCTAATTAAGAGAGAAAAGAAACCAATTTGGCATGAGCAAAATATTAGTGTCGATGATTTTTTTTATTTATTTATTTATGCAATAACTTCTTTGACGCATATGTGGTGTTATTGATTAATCGGTTCGATGATGTTAGTAATAAATTCCACCTTGAATACTGGCGAGTTATCCAGGGAGATGACGTCGGAGTTACTAGCTGTGAGTTTGAGATGCAAGACTGAGATCGACAATAATATAGTAGTGGATTATAATAGAGGTTGAAGGGGCTTTGACCCTCATTTTTTTATATATAAATTAATATATAATTTAAAATATTTTTATAAAACTTTAATATATATTATATATTTGACACCGATAAAATTGTATATATTTATAAAAAGGTTTTGGCACTCCAAAAATCTTAATTAAAGATCAATCACTAGACAATGAGGAAGGATTGTCACTATAAATAAGTCTATGTAAGTCTCTGATGGTGAGAGGAATGCAAGTTGATCTGTTGGTGGTGTGTCATGTGTTCGTGTCGAAACACGAAAAACAAGAAGGATGGATGGTTTATGTATATGAGGAACATGTTTATATTGTTGCGTTGCTTCAAGATAGTGTTGATGTGAAATTTGTTAATGTTGAAGTTGTGTTGTGGGCTTACTTGCTGTAATATGTGAGATTTTTATTAAAGGGAGGGTGTCTTGTTATCTGGAAGTAATTACCAAAGTTTCACATTGAACGTAAAAAATGTAGTAGACTAAGAATGAAAAGTTTATTTCAGTCTTGTTATTCTAAGTCAATAAGTCTTTTAAGTGTATATGATACTTGGTTGACATGAGAGAGATTACAGTTTTATTATTGTAAAAGTTGTATGAATATATATATTGAGTATTCTTGAATGTAAAACTTAAGATGCAGAATGTAAATTAAATTTATTATGTGCTTGTATATGTATACTTTCATTAAAAGAGATTGATTTGGTTGAACGTAATTTCTTAGAGATTCATCATAAACAAATAAGTATGAAGTAAAAGGGAAATTATATATTGAAGTTCTAATAAAGGAAGAGGTTAAATGTTAATAAATATGAAATAGAAATAAAATAAAAGTGGAGAAGAGATCTTTCTATGTTATCACTACCTAACATGTGGGTAAAAAAATGAATTAGGAAACAAAAAGTAAACTATATATAAATATTGTTAAAAGAAATCTAATTTCATTAAGTAATAAATGATAAAGAGACATGAAAAAAAATCCATCAAACACAAAAAATTATTAATTTGGAAATAATTCAGGTATGCAAGTGTGAGTCTAAGTTTCATATTAGATAAAAATATAAAATTTAATATAAAAAAAACACATAAACTCAATGACTTAAGATTTTGATTAGAAGTAATGTCAATTCTTTATGTGGGTTGGACTCATGTCATATTTATATAATCTCTTCTTGATAAACCTCCTCCTAAAAATGTCCACCAATGATATCAAAGCATATGGTTTACCTTTCTGACCGACTTAGACCGTTGTGATAACAAGACATCATCGTCACAACCACAACAACTACAATTTAATTAAGGGTCACTTTACACTTGAGGAGAAATATATCAAATGACTAGTCTTGAGGGAGAGATTGTTGAGAATAATCCCAATGTGAGTCTAAGTCTCACATTGACAGAAATGACAAAGTTAAATATCAAATACCAAAATAACCCACAAACTCATGTCTTAAGGTTTTAGATTAAAAGTGATTTCAATTTCTTATGTTGATTCGACTCAAGTCACATGGAAAAACCCATCAAACTCCTTAATAAAATGACAAAAATGTGACTTGATATACATCAAAGGTCATTTTGTTGTAACCATATGAAAGTAGTGCTCCCTCCATTTCATTTCTTCTCTATATACTAAGAAAAATAAATATTTTTTAGCTAAACTATCATTATACTCATTTTTCATTTCTATCACTTGTTATTGTTGCATATTTAAATAAACAATCACTATATAAAAACTGAGAATTGTTGACATAACATTACCGGCGACCTATGATCTGTCAATAAATGTTAATTAGTCACGGAGGTCATTGTTCATTTACTAGCAGATATATCCACCGGTATTGTATTAAATGCCACCAGTAAGTTCCTCGATGAAATCAGTTTACGTTTTAGGTTTTCCTCTCCCAATTTCACTTTCCCATTTCCTCAAAATATGATGCATTGTGCTTTCCTCCTTCAACAGCTTCCATAGTGCCCCCACGCATCAGTCCAGCCCGCGTTTGAAGTCTGGTGACCTTCATTTTGAGCAACCTTGTCATATTTCATACCTTCGTCGCAAAGGCTTCTCTCGCGCGTCATTGGTAAAGCTTTTTATTACCTCTCCTATTGTCAACACTCTTCCTATTGCGCCTCCTCCAGGCCATTTTTGTGGTGCATTAAAGCTCTAGCGAAGCCTCATTGAGAGACTAGGTTTTTTCATTTCTTCCTTTCTTGCTCGTGCCCTAATTAATGTGTTTTGTGTTTGGTCGGATTGGATTTTGATTGAGTTGTTTTTTTCTCTCGAAGGTTATTATGAGTTGTATGTTTGGGTTGCATTATGGATTGTGTTTGGGATATTATTGATATTGTTTGCCTTGCTTGTGATTCCATGTTGTAATTTTTGAAAAGGGCAAAACATGACCCTCGCAAATTCATTTTCGTGTATTGTTTTTATGAGGTTGGAAATTCATTTTCATGTTCTGAAATGCTTATGAGGTTGCAAATTCTTTGAAACTAGAATTGTGTTCCTTTTAGGTTGGAAATGTAGTGGTTAGTTCTTAGGCTTGTGTTTCTTTTATAGTTAACTCTTGACGAAGAGATTGATTGTGATGCCACGTATAGGATTCAACTTAAACAAACGAAATGGAAAAGCTCATTTGGCCTCATGATGAATTTGAAGAAGGGTTTTGAACCTAGTGGGGGCCTGCCATGGTCTCAATTATGTATGGTAATGATATCATATCAGAGAAGGAAAAAAGAAAGAAAAGGTGGTTAAGGTAGTCAACTGGAGCTTGTCCTGCTTTCCATCTGCATGGAACCAAATTCTACACTTAAAGCTTGTCATAGATTGAAAGTAGAGAGAGTTCTTAGGCTTTAGGGTTTCCATTGAGAATAAGACTAGGGACAAACTAGCTAGGGTTAAATTTTAATTGAATTGAATGACCTTATTTGCAGTGGCAGTCTCCCATGGGTCTCACTATCATTTGCCTTTTTTTTGCATAATGGAAGTTTTTTCTTACCTAAATTAAGTTGAACACAACCATTGGAAATCATCATGCTGAATGATAGCCATATAAACTTAGTTAAAACATTTGATTTTTTTGTTATGAGCTAAAGGCAATTAGAGAGGCTCAAAAAGAGGTTAGGTAGTACCCAAAGATAGCCATATAAACTTAGTTAAAGCATCTTATTTGTTTTTGTTCACCATATGATTAATGTAGCCCTGGATCACCTCTGCTAAAGTAGCTTTGTTCATCAAACCTATAACATATAGTCACTAATTCCTTATTTGGAAAAAGCTTTGCTTTAGATCTCCAAACCAAATAATCAAAAACCGTATTAAGAAGCAAGGGAGAAAGAGCATATGATTATTTTGTCCCTTAAGAAACATAGTTTTGTGGTTTCCTACGTCATTTTTTTTCTTACATTAATTTCCAATTAATTTTGCAGTAATCCCCCCAGAAGACAAAGAACCGTTCTAGCAGCGATTTAAGATAAAACATCATATTACTTAATCTCATTTTCATTGATTTTCGCTATTAAGTCCATTTACTTTATTTTAACATGATTTATTATAACAACTGAAGGTCGAGTGAAGACATGAGCAAAAACTTAAATTAAACAAAATTTTCACAACAAAACATCTCATAGACTATTAGAAATGTTTAGAGATGCATGCGATGTAGGAGTATGCCCTTATTGGGTTGGGGAACACATATGCAACTCCTTGTTGGGACATTAGAATTTGCCAGATTACTGCAACAAATGTGCTACCTTCCAAAGGAATAGGGCTTCAGAAAAGGATGGTGTTTTGTATATAGGTGGTTCAATTACCACTCATTAGCATGCCATTCGAATGGAACAAATCTTTTCATTCATTTCCTATCAATTATGATATAAGTTATGTACTTTGAATTGATGTATATATATAACTTCTATAATTTTACAAGTAGTAAAGTTGGGACGGACTGTCCACGTTGATGAGGTGTTTTACCAAACTCATTTATGTAAAGGATCTGGCCAGTATGATGAGAGGTCGTGGATGACACATGTAAGCAAACTCTTTTGCAAACTTGAAACTTGTATTAATTTTTTCTTTTTAAACTTCTTCCTTTTGCTGACACTTTGCATATTCTTTAACTGAAATAATTCTCCACTAGACTTTTATAGGTCAGATCAGAGAAAGGATCATGGTTTTATGATGATGTATCACAAGTAAATATCGATGACGGTGAAATCATTAGGATATAGTGGTAGGTGGACGTCGTCAGTAGATAAAATAAAGGACGAGTATATGGGGCAGGAAAAATTATTGCTATCACATTGTTGGAAGAGGTACATTAAGCACCAACCATCTACATGCAGTAGTGCTGACTAAGGTTATGATGAGTTAAGACAACAACTACAAGCTCATGACCAAGCTTATGATTATCTCAAATAGCGATTTGAGAATCTCCAAAATTTTCTTATGAAGTTTTTGCATTTGTTCTTGCCTCAAGACGCACAACCTATGGTCTAACAACCTCAGTCCACCCCAACATCGTTTCAGCAACGACGCCCCGTCCCCCCGTATAGCCCACCCTAGTCCAGTCACCTCCCCAACAACAACACGATGAAGAAGAAGAAGGAAATAACTCTGATGATGATTATGACAATTATTAGATACTTAGTTTATTTACATATTATAGGACTTAAAAACACTTCTACATTTGTATTATTGACATTGTATTATGCTTTTAGTGATATGGATTTCATTGTCACCACTACATTATTGGTTTATTGATGTTTGGATATATTTGGATTTTATGATTTTAATTGCATTTGATTGTGTTTAGGTTGAATTAATATGGTAGGAAACAAATGCTCCACTGCACTTGAACCTGTTTTACACATTACTGACAGATTACTGATAGATATATTTGTTGATAAACACCAACGAACTATGGTCATCGATAATTATCGACTAATCATCGTCGTCGATAATTATCGATAAATCATGATTGTCGATAATTATTGACAGATATAGGTCGTCGATAATTAACAATTAATCCATCCATGGATAATTGTTTCTGACCATTATCGACGAATCATAACTAATTGATAATCTAGCAGGAAACATACAGACAAATTTTGGATATTGCCAATTAGATATATCTATGGGTAATTCCAATTTTATTAAGTGAATTATATATATTTTTTATGAACTCATCTCACTTATATATTTTTTATAAATAACATACTTAGAATTGCTTTCCCATCTAATTGGATTATAGCTTATAATACAATATTTTTTCATCTAACAAATTTTAAATTAATAATAGAAGAATTTATATTAATTTGAGTATATATTTAAAGTAATATTTTAAAATTTATAAAAAAATTTTAAATAACGCATGAAATAGATAGAATAAAATTAGACGAAGAGTGGTTTAAAAATCACAGTTAAAGAAAAGCAATTTCTTTCCAAAATTTTGATAGTAAAGAAAGTGTTAAATGTAAAACTACCACCAGTCAAACAAAGTTAATGGAAACAACAACCTATCTGAGAATTCAATAAATACAATTTAGTGGTTGTAGAAGTACCACAAAATAAATGGGAAAAAGCAAACCACAACTTGGCACAAAACATTTAATATATACGCTGAAAGGTCGAAGTCACCTAAATGAACAAAAAATGCTAGAACATTATATTTAATTATTTATTTATTCAACTTTCACCCTCTCAATAAAATGTTTAATCAAATACCTTAATTTCAAAAAGTACAACAATATAATTTTTATCTATTAAAATTGATATATAGCTTGCTTTATAAACATTCACTAATCACTACTGGATTCTTATAAACTATATTATAATATAATTAGAACAGTAGTCGAAAACAGGGAGACATAATTACCCACAATATGATGACAATTTTTGCTTTAATTCAGTTATTAAAAGTTATAAAATGAAACTTGCGATGTGAGAGAAGAGAACAAGACTAATAAAGAATAGCAATACAAGAAAAAGATTCTTTTGTGGGTAATTCTAACAATTAAGTTAATTTAAAGTATCAAATATGTAAGATAACATGTGAGATCAAACTAATATTTTTAAATAGTTCATAACCACGAGTTAAAATTAAATATGTCTTGATATTTATCTCACAATATAAATTATCTAAGAACTTGTAAAAGACAAATAAAATAAACATTTGTTTGAAAACTTAGAAATGCAATTAAGTGTGCACAACTAACTATGGCAAGAGCAATCAATTGTAACCTAACCCTCTTGGTGTGGTACGGCAAAATAAATGGGAAAGAGCAAAACACGAAACATTTAATGTTGAAAGCTCAAAGTCTTTGGTTTGCCTGTATGAAGTACACAATCATTACATTCAAATAGACTTAGTTTCTAATTTATTTATTTATTTATTGTATTCAATTACAAATTCTATTAAAAAATTAATTAATCATTTTTAATTTTAAAATATAACTATGTAGTGGTGTTAAGGTTCAGTTAAACATTGAAGACAACTTCACGCAAGTTATCTTGATTATTGTACTTGTATTATATTTTTGAAGGAAGAACTGTGTTATGTTGTACAACGTTAACATAAAGTGGTGAATGACTTTTGTTCTTTGTGAGAAAAATAGGGTGAAAATGATTCAACCAATATGTATATAATTATTTACTAGTGTTAATCTAACTATATTAATTTAAAAAACTCCTTTAAAAATGTAAAAAATAACTGAAATCATATAGGTTAAGTTTCTTATGAGCAAATAAAGAATTTATCAGTGCGTGAATTCCATTAGTCTTGCGCCATCAAATATTTAAAAATCTATAATGAACTCGGCTAAGGCAAGTCACAAACTATTTACGTCTCATCTTTTCAAATCATGAACTTCATGTAACTTGCAACCAAAAAAATTATGAACTCTAAATCACAAAAATTCCTAATCCCAAATTGTAAAAAACTAATACACAGATCGTTTCATGGCCACCACCATTGCAACAAGTCCCAAGCCACCAAAATGTAAAATCCTAATTTTTGCCAAAGAAGCTCCTTGGTCATAACGACCATCGCAATTTCCAATTTCAATTTTTATCAGAAACCCAAACAATAATATGAAGACCTTAATTTTGTGATTTCCATTTACAATTTATAAGAAATCTATTTTTTTAATTGTTTAATATATCATATTCCACGTATGTCATCCATCTTTCACACAATTTAATGAAACCAGGTCACAACGATAATTCAACTAAATTTTGACCTCGTTAATCTAATTTAACCGCATGGATTCAACTGTATTTATTTTTCACGTTTAGAAACCTAATTGAAACAGAAAAAGAAAGGAACCTTGAGAAAATTAACTTAAACCGAGACTATGATAATGATTAAACCTATATTATATTTTTGAAGGCTTTAAAGGAAAAGAACTGTGGTATGTTGTAGAACGTTAGCACAAAGTAATGCACTCACCATTTCCACGTAGCAAAACACAGATGGAGAACTACACAAAAGTGGCAGAAACTTCAATGCCCTTTGCTCGTCGGTATTTGCCACCAAAACCTTTTGAAGCTCTGAAAATGATGAGAGATTTCTCAAAAGAAGTTGCAGATATTACAGATGAACATGGAAGCTTGCTAGATTTCATCGATGATGCAAATAAAGTGGCTGATGCTGAAGAAGATGTCAAAAGGCGTGATAGAATGAAGGAAAGGTTGATGAGGCTGAGAGAAGCAGCTTTTCGCATGGAAGACGTGATTGATGAATATTGCATCCGTGTTAAAGAGAAACAACCTCAACATGGTCCTCCATGGGCAGCTTCACTCTCTAAGACTGTCCACAGCATCAAAACCTTCATCCTTCGACTTCAAATAGCATGTAAGATTCAGGATGAAAAATCAGTTGTTCGTGATGAAAAAGTTGGTTTTGAAAGCCAATATTTTTTAGATAAAAAACTAAACAGTTCTAGAGAAAACAAAAATGTCACGTTTAATCAACTTCGAATGGATCCTCTCTTTATGAAGGAAGAGGAGGTTGTTGGACTTGCTGAACCTACAGAGAGATTGACAGATTGGTTAACAATGGGACGAGAAGAACGCACTGTGATTTCTGTTGTAGGTATTGCAGGAGTTGGAAAAACCACTCTTGCCAAGCATGTTTTTGACAGGGTCCATCAATACTTTGAGTGCCATGCATTGATCACAGTCTCTCAATCCTACACTGTAGAAGAATTGTTGAGGGATTTGGTACGCAAACTTTGCAAAGAGAGAAAGGAAGATCCACCTTGTAAAATTTCTACGATGGATAGAGGCTCCTTGATTGAAGAAGTCAGAGATCGCCTGCACAATAAGAGGTATGTTGTCTTATTTGATGACGTATGGAATGAAAAGTTTTGGGATGACATTCAATCTGCTTTGATCGATGATAAAAACAACAGTAGGATAATAATCACTACAAGGAACGAGAAGGTTGCGGTCTTCTGTAAGAAATCTTCTTTTGTTGAAGTGCATAAGCTAGAAGAGCCATTAAAAGATGAATCTTTCAGATTGTTCTGTAGAAAGGCATTTAAGTATGGTTCTGCCGGAGGCTGCCCAGAAGAACTCAAAGACATATCTCTTGAAATTGTTAGGAAGTGTAAAGGTTTACCTCTGGCAATTGTGGCCATTGGTGGTGTCTTGTCCCAAAAAGATGACAGTGAAAAAGAATGGAGACTGTTTAGTCAAAATCTAAGTTCAGAGTTGAAGAGGAATCCTGATTTAAATATTATAACAAAAATTATAGGTTTAAGTTATGATAATTTGCCGAGCCATCTCAGATTATGTTTACTGTATTTCGGAATGTATCCAAAAGATTATGAAATTGAATCTGAGAGATTGGTTAGGCAATGGGTGGCTGAAGGATTTGTTACCCACGAAGAGGGAAAAACTTTAGAAGAAGTTGCACATGAATATTTACTAGGGTTGGTTCGTAGAAGTTTGGTGCAAGTGTCATCATTTTCCATGAAAGGAAAAGTGAAAAAATGTCGTGTTCATGACTTAATACACGATATGATCCGTACAAAAGTGAAGGATACATGTTTTGGAGAGTATATTGGCGGAGGGCATGATCAATCTGAGTCAAGTGAGTCGGTTCGACGTCTGACAATTCAAGCAAACAATGATTTAAATAGACGTATTAAAAGATCACACATTCGGTCAATTATAGTCATTCCAGGAAAAAAAGAACTATTGTCTGTCCACTTGGTAAAGAAAATCCCTAAAGATTATATTCTATTGAAGGTACTTGATTTTGAAGATTGTGGATTACTTTGTGTTCCTAAAAAGTTGGGGAATTTAATCTACCTGAGGTATTTAAGCTTTAGGGGGACGCAGATAAAAGTTCTTCCAAAATCCATTGGTAAGCTCGTGAACTTGGAGACCTTGGATATACGACAAACGCAAGTGTGTAAGGTGCCGAAGGAGATCAAAAAGCTTAGAAAGTTACGGCATCTTCTGACACCTGACTCTGTATCTTCTTCAATTGAATGGAAGGATATTGGAGGCATGACAAGGCTGCAAAAGATACCACAAGTGCGTATGGAGGGTGATGGAGTGGCCATTAGAGAGGTAGGGAAGTTAAAGCAGTTAAGGGTTCTGAGGGTGCTTTGTTTCGGCGGAGAGCACATTACTTTACTTTTCTCCTCAATCAATGAGATGGAACACTTGCAAGCACTACGCATTGAAAAATCTGATGATCGCAACGTAGTTGACTTGACCACTACGTCAACCATATCTGAACTTAGGAAGCTTTTCCTTGATTTGAAGTTAGAAAAGTTGCCAAATTGGATTCCCCAACTCCTTCATCTTGAGAGATTGACCTTGCGCCACTCTGACTTAAACAATGATCCCTTGGAATCACTAAAAGATATGCCTAGTTTGTTGGTTCTCTCTTTATCCCACGCTTATGAAGGTCAAACTTTGCATTTTCAGCCTGGAGGGTTCAAGAAACTAAGAAAGCTAAATCTCGAACATCTTTGGAACTTGAATTCGATCCTTATGGATGAGACAGCTCTGCAGTCTTTGGAACATCTTAATTTGAAAGGCCTCGATGAACTCAGAACTGTCCCCGATGGCATTCAACATCTGAAGAAACTTAAATTTGTTCTTGTCCTTTCTATGCCAACTCTATTTGTTAAGGAAATTGATCGCATTGGTAAAGACCAGCACTGGAGCATCAATTATGGCTGTATGTGATTCGCGGTACGTATTTACCATTATAAGATTTTCACTACTATAATCTTTTATGTTAGTATTTTATGCTCTGAATTGGTAGGTGTTGACCTCGACTCAAGAATTACGTTGTTTTTACTTTAGATGTTTATAAGTGTCATCAAGATGAACACTTTAAAACGTGAGATTTAGGAAGAAGTTTAGGCCTTCTGTTTGTAAATGTATACTGGTGTAAATTTAGTGAGTATTATTTCATTACGACTTGAAGCACATTATAAATTTATCTACATTTGATTGTGTTAACTTTAATGTTCTTAATTCTAGATCTTCTACTCACTATTGTACAATCGTGAATTTTAGGAAAGCTGTAAGTGAATATCCCCTCAAGTTCTCTCTCGTGCGATCCTTGAAGCGGTGGATCTCGATTTGATGCCTCAAACTGCAAAGCCCATCTATTTGTCATGATGTTTTCTAAGCTTCCTTCAATTTTTCCCTCTTTTCTTTTCCAAAATGTGTATTTAACTTTTAGTTTGCGGGTGAAGAATCCTAACTGCAACTTGATGTTAGATTTAATTGAAGCTCATTTCAGTGATCGCTTTTCCGTTTCTAATGCCTTTATAAATCGATCACTTCACTTACAGGCTATGGTGACTTGTTTTCGTGATGAGATGACTTTCTGTGGGATGAATTGAAAATTTACCATATATTTTTATACGGGCCACTAATTTAAAAATTTGGTAGCTTGATATGATATGGATATGGTGACAGATAAATAACATTAAGAAATTGCAAATTCAGTTCTCCCATGCTCCCTCAGAAACTAGTCAAGATCATTTCTCATAAAGTCAAACTAGCATGTGTTTTTAAAGAAGTGAATATTACTTTAATTTGCCATTACAAATATTATGAGCAAAACCAATATTAACCGTACAATATTAGCTACGTGTCGAACGTGTCGATAATATACTAAATAATGGGAATGCCATGTGTTGGGAATCCAACTTCCGTATCAGATAAAAATGAGAAAGTAGAGCACTATATAAAGATGAAAGATTGAGTAAAGAGTGGTATCAATTTTTATTGTGGTTGAAACTTATCCTATTTTTTCATGAACAACATACGCATGGACAAGAGAATACTCATTTATCTGAGGACGATCCTGTTGGTGCATTGCACCAACTTTGTGACATCATTGGAGATGAGCCTATGAAGGTTGAATATGATGCTAATGTATTTGGGAGAGGCTCTAAGGTCCCAATATACCTGCATAGCCAAGATGTCAGGGAGCTTGCGTCGGGAAGAGAAGAGTTGAATATTACATTAATTCAGTTATGGATGATGTAAGTCTATGAGCAATTATTTATATAAAATTGATTTATATATCAAGTATACTTATATCAAAGATAATTTTTAATAAGTTTCAACATCAATAACATGTAAAATTTAAAATTGACAAGTGTAAAGTAGAAGTTCATACTGGGTGGTCAGAAACCGAACCAACCAAGTGTTTAGGCCCAGCGATAAAAGACTGGAATGCATGTGTCATAGTGAAAATCTCATCTGTGGATAGAGGAACTAAGGCATCTGGTATGATAATGTCTTCTACTAAGACCTTCACCTCATCCTCTAATAGCTCCATACCATGAACAACAGTCGCTGCCTTAAACACTGTTCCACGAGCTACCAACATCGTCCCGATACCATCTAAAACGTATAACAGACATGGACTAGCATCGTCCATGTCATCCCCTGGGACGGTTGGTGCTGAACAACTTCCTTTCCTGCTTCTCCCTGTCAAAGTAAAGGTTAGATTATAAAAATAATAAATTATTGAACATCAATGTTTATTGATTTTACCTGTGGGAGGCACAATAGGTTCTTGTACTGGAGATGGCTGTGGGCGCATCCCATAGCTCTCAAATTGCTGCTGGAATTGGTGCATAACTCTGTCAGTCAGTTTTGTAGTGACTTCATCATACAATTTTGTCCTAAGCTCCGCCCTAAGCTCCGTCCTAAGCTCCGTCCTAAGCTTTTTTGAGATCTTTTGTGTCAGCCTTTGTTCTTGTTCTTTGTTGTATGCATATGAAGTCTGACGCAAAGAACTCCCAAAACAATCTCGAATGCCTACTCCAGTACCAGCAACACGCACACGTCCAGGGTGCTCAGGTCGTCCAATTGTAGTGGTAAGAATATCCTGACGACCCTCTGGAGTGAATTTACCTTGGGAGCTCTGCTCATCCTATAACATTAAAAAACACCATTATTCTTTAAAAAGTTCAATGTAGTATGTATAATGAAACTATTATTGTTTTAGGAATAGTGATAACTTACAATTCTTTCGAATATTTGTTGTGCAGTCTTAGAAGAATAGTCCCCTGATGATCTTAAATGAGCCAACTTCCACTTCTCATGCTGAGAAGGTGGAGAAGGAGGTTGGGGGCTACCATCCTTAGATGATGGTCTACCTTCTGCTTTTTGCTTGAGGATTTTCTCCTCAAGCTTCCTATACCCACCACGGGATAATAGGTGGGGGTTCTTATTTTGAGCATTTATTCTTTGTGTTTTGCTTCTTGTTGCCTGTCACATATATTGAATTAATTAGTTCATATAATATATATTTGTTAATGAGCAATTGAATAATATCAACTATATTAACCTGTCATTCCTCTGATGTCCAACTCTGTACAAAGAGGCGCCAAGTTTCCTCATCAATGGCCTTATATTTTTTACATGGAGACTCATTTTTTTTGCCTCCAAATATATATCTCGAGGTCAACTTAGTCTTAAAACCCTGGAATTTCTCAACAATTGATGATAAACACTTATTTTTAAGTGTTGTGACATTTGGAATGTCAAATGTCGTCTGCAATAAACATAATAAAGTTGTATCAGTACAAATTTATCAATATAAACAAATGATATTGATTAACTTACCAATAGACCGTTTCATATAATGTTCCGATCAACCTCGGACACATGTTCGAAAGATGGAGTAAGAATATTAATCCTATCACGGGCCGATACTCCAAGGTATGATCTGAAGGCATCTGCATTTGGGTCAGATGTCACACCTGTGATCACATTAACATCCACAACTATCCTTTCACCACTATTTCTTCTGACCATCAGTTGTTTCAATGTGGTGGCTCCTCTAGTAGGTCTGGATGAGGGAGCCTCATCCCCTGATGAATGTGGGTGGTTAGTCATATATCTATCAAAATAAATAACAACATGAAATATTAATAAAAGACTTATGTAATATCATATAATTTAACAAAACATGTAATAGGGGTCATATGAAATATTAATAAAAGACTTATGTAATATTAATAAAAAGCTTATACACAAATTTGAAATTCATACATAAATAAATGGATTGGTCATATGTATATCCCCTCATCATGATCTGACCGAATTGCATGTACATCGTCAAGTAAAGGGTGGTCATCCAAATTTGTCGTTGTTTTCAATGAATGGTTGCCAACAATATGAATATTAATTAGATTGTCTTCGTTAACTTCAATTTGTTTTTTGCCTTGAAGAGCGACATACCAATGATCAGACGCATGATCTTTGACATAAAAAACCTGAGATGCTTGATGTACTATGATAAACGGTTCGTCTCGATAACCCACCTTTCGAAAATCAACTAGTTTCATACCCGATTCATCTATTTTCACACCACTCTTATTGTCAAACCACTTACATTTGAACAATGGAACAGAAAACTAAGTGTAATCAACCTCCCATATCTCTTCTACTATACCAAATATCTCATTGATCCAAGTACAGGATTTTGATCTTTTGATGTGGAAAATTGGAGTGACTCAGCTTCTAGACTAACTCCACTATTTTGTATTGAGCTTTTATCATCCGAAGTCTTCATATAGAATGTGCAATTATTGATTTCATAACATGTACAACATATGACATCAAACTTTAAACCATTTGCAAGCCACAATAAATTTTGAGAAGAATGTGGCTTTTTATCAACTTCAAATTTGAACCAAGACATAAATGTTTTGTTATGCTCCATCAACTGTCATTTCTCTTATTGTCTTGGATTTTTATTCTTCACAATGACTTTGTGTGCTTCCATAAAAGGGATCACCTCATCTGTGTTGTTCAATATATAAAGATGTGCTTGCAACAATTATTCGGATACTTTTACTTGTAGAACATTTATTCAACCATGATGTGCGATGAACTCTTATTGGATTTGTTGAAGTCATGTAATCTGAACAATACTCAATACTTTCTTCAACAATATACCTTTCAATCATTGAACCTTCGGGATGATACAAATTTTTAACGTACCCTTTCAAAATCTTCATATAACGCTCAATAGGATACATCCATCTTAACTATACCGGTTCGCACAACTTGATTTCTCTAACCAAATGAACAAGTGAATGTACCATGATATAAAAAAAAGATGGAGGGAAAAACATCTCTACTTGACACAAGATGATAACAATCTCGCCTTGAATTTCATATAACTTTGTAGGATCGATGACTTACAACAAATTGACGAGAAAAATGAACACAACCTGTTTATGGTCTGCCTAACATTTTTGGGAAAAATTCCACGAATAGCCACTGGTAACAATTGTTGCATTAAGACGTGGCAATCGTGAGATTTCATGCCAACAAGCTTTAAGTCCTGCATCGACACTAAACTCTTCATATTTGAAGAGTATCCTTGTGGTATCTTGATATTCTTTAAACAAAGGTAAAAAGTTATCTTCTCTTGTCTGGACATTGTGTAACGTGCAGAGGGCAAATAAGTACGTTTACCAATCTCCCTAGGTGCCAACTCTTTCAGATCTTCATGTTGAGTAGTGTACCAATCAAGCTATCACACACATTCTTCTCTACATGCATCATATTTATGCAATGTCTAACATCTAACTTTGATCAGTATGAAAGATCAAAGAATATTGATTTCTTCTTCCAAGGGGTCGTTACAGATGACTTCTTGGAAGTTTCCCCAAATACATGATGTATTTTATTAACTTTTTCAAGAATTTTAAGGCCAGTAAGTGGATTTGGTGCTTCGTCCCTCTCTTGATACCCATTAAATGCTTTTTTTAACCTTCGATATGGATGATTACCTTTTAAAAATCTCTGATGATGCAAATACATTATCTTCCTTCTGTGTTTCAATTGTTGAGCTGTAGTGTTTTCTTCACATATAGGACATGCTTTATGACCTTTGACACTGAATCTTGACAAATTACCATAAGCTGGGAAGTCATTAGTGGTGCAAAATAACATTGCACGCATCACAAAAGTTTCAGAAGCAAAGGCATTAAATATTTCAACCCCATACCCACAACAACTTCAAGTCTTCAACTAATGGGTTTAGATAAACATCAATGTCATTTCAGGTTGCTTTGGACCAAATTCATCATGGACAACATCATGTACTTCTTCTTCATGCACAATGCAAGAGATAAGTTGTAAATTATCAAAATAATTGGCCAACAACTGTGATTGGTACTTAAATTATCAAATGGGTTCATCCCATTAGTGGCTAAACCAAGAAGCCTAAGTTGTCTACATTCTTGACCAAATTGGGGGAATTGTTAATCAAT